TAGTGTTAGTTTTTTTTTGTTTGTTTTTTTAAGAAAAACAAGCAGTTAGTAAATTAATAGAGTGCAAGTCTAAAAAGGGCAAGTTTTTTTGTTTTTAAGAACATAATTAGAATAGAGAGTGCTAGAGTTGGAGGGTTAAATAGAGATGGAAGAGATGTGTTTTAGCTGATTCTTGAAGATGGCTAAGGACTCAGCTGCTCGGATTGAGTTGGGCAGGTCATTCCACCAGCAGGAAACATTTAATTTAAAAGTCTGTAAAAGTGATTTTGTGCCTCTTCGGGATGGCACAATAATGCGCCTTTCACTTGCAGAACGCAAGCTTCGAGAGGCACAAAAGTCTGAAGTAATGAATTTAGGTAAAGGGGAGCAGAGCCAGTGGTGGTTTTGTAGGCAAACATTAATGCCTTGAATTTTATGCGAGCAGCTATTGGTAGCCAGTGCAAATTAATAAACAAGTGTGATGTGAATTATTTTCGGCTCATTAAAAATTAATCTTGCTGCCACGTTCTGGATTAATTGTAAAGGTTTGATAGTACTGGCTTGAAGACCTGCCAAGAGAGCATTGCAATAGTCCAGCCTGGACAGAACAAGAGCTTGAACAAGGAGTTGTGAAGCATGTTCCGAGGTCTGAGAAAGTCAGATGATCATCAATCATAACTCCAAGGTTTTTTGCTATTTTTGAAAGAGTTATGGTTGATGTGCCTAACTGGATGGTGAAATTGTGATGAAACAATGGGTTTTATGGAACCACAAGCAGTTCTGTCTTGGCAAGGTTGAGTTGAAGGTGATGGTCCTTCATCCAGCAAGAAATGTCTGTTAGACAAGCTGAGATTCGAGCAGCTATCGTCGGATCATCAGGATGGAATTAGAAGGTAGAGTTGAGTGTTGAACTTGAAAGAAATAAGGATTGGACATTTATCGTGATAATTATCGATAATGACTGATATGAAAAAAAATTGTTGTGATAATATTTTTGGCCATATTGCCCAGCCCTAGATGCATATGTGGATTTTCTGTGCAAGGGTACCCTCTGGCTTCCAGTATGGATGAAACAGACATTAAATGTGTTTATAGCGCTCAGTAATGGCCAATCCATAAATAAATAAATAATACTTTGTGACGAGTGGGGGCGGGGCCGAGAGCCGTGGGAACAGAGCGAGGCCGGTGGAGTAATTGATAATGAGCGACACCTGCACCACTCACCGGTCTCGAGTCCCACGGAGGAGCTCCGGAAGTATAAAAGGATGAGTGACGACAGTGCGAGTCTCACGGAGGAGCTCCAGAAGGATAAAAAGGATGAGTGACGACAGTGAAAGATGAGAGAGGACCAGACCTGGACTTTATTTTGTGTTTTGTGTGCGGCAGTCGTCCGCGAGGGGCTGCCGCTTTACTTTCATTTTGTGTTTGTTTATTTTATTAAAGTCTTTAAATGTTCGCCGGTTCCCGCCTCCTTCTTCCCGAACTACGAACGTTGTTACATACTTATCTTTAATATATTTTTGAATAATAATCCAACGTTTTTCTACAGTGGACAGAAGTGTACTGGTGTTTTAATTAAAGTTTATTGTTTTTGTTTTTTTTGTAATAAAATTGGAATCGAAAAAAAAATATATATACTAGGATGTGCCAAGCCATCAGAACCGAACTGTTGGTTAAAACCCTGTGTCCCGTTCCGTACCTATGATACTCAAAATCAAATTCAGAATCAGAATTGACAGGTCTGTGTATGTTAGATAATAGTGTAGTTGAACAAACATATTTAATAGTTCTCCCTATAGAAACATGGGGTTTGTGTCTATAATATTTGAAAAATAATAATTTGAAGATTTTGTAAGTGTCTACTTTCCAGATTGCAATGGTCGCGTTTTGCATTTTTCTGCTGGTGCGACTAAATTGCTGGTGCAACCACCGCATTGCCAACGAAACGCTAACGAAACAAAAGCGTAACAAAACCACGCTACTCGTTTGAGCTGCACAGCATGGACCGTTTAGCAGCTCGGACCAATAATTGACCTATCGGTAAGCCCCTCCTCTCGAACACAGATAAGCCAATGGCAGTTCAGTATTAGTTGCACGGAGACCGGAACTCTGACATCTGACTCTGACAGCGTCATGGCGAAACATTGGAGTATCCGAAGCTTTCATCGGTTTAATGGTGTTTATGCTACAAAAATGGAAAAACAATTTGCCTGGGTTACTTGTAACACAGATTCCAGTTATATTGAGAGGATGGACAATTAAATTTATTTTATTCCATTTCCTAATCCTAAACAAAACAGATCAAAATGTCCCTAAGCATTCAGTCCCAGTCCCAGTCCCAATCCCAATGAAAATGTTAATTTTCTGGTCATCATACTCTCATTAAGTTACAATTTTCATCTGCTCAAGCAGAACATTAATGCCATTGTGTGCTTCAGCAAGGTATCGCTGGCTAAAACTAGCTAACAGTAGCGTTTAGGGATGTAACGATTCACTCAACTCACGATTCAATTCACGATTTTGATTTCACGATTCGATTCGATTCACGATTTTTTTTTTACAAGCGGCAACCTTCCGGTCTCTCTCTTGAAACCAACACGAAAGTGACTTAAAGGTGCCATAGAATGCATTGATACAATTAAATTATTTAGATAAAACCAGATCAAAACACGGGGCATTTATACTTATAAGCGCCAGCGCGGGTCAAATTTACCCGCTATATAATGCTTGTATGTTCGCGCTGTCATTTTCGTGCCGCTTATGTTTTAACATAGTACATTGCTAGGCAACGCCTTTCACTCACTGAATTAGCGGTTATCGGTTTCATAAATAAAGACAAAATGAGTAAAAGAAGGCGCAGTTTTGCGTTCAGTGGATACTCTCCAAAATGGCGCTACGGTGACGCGGAGTAGGGCTGTCGCGGTGAGGGAATTTCCCTTGCATTCAACTACACGTTCCAAAACGCTGATTCATTCATTCAAAGAGAGACATAATGAAACGCGCTGTTGAAATCATTTTAACTTTGAGCGCCACTTTAGAAGGCTCAGCTGACCAGCTATGCGTTGGTGCTAAGACAGATTTCGCTTTCCTTGGACATGACAACATATTTTCACAAATAC